ATAGTGTTTATTTAAATTTAGAAAGAATGTGCTAAGCTTAGCGCTGGAGGCCACTGGGTTTGGTGGTAAATATTTCTTTTTGTTTGTCAAACTGCATTCCTCTGGCTGCAACTAAAACCAATGTTCCATAGATGACGTGATGGCTTCTGTCAAGTGGCACATCGGGATTACCTTAGTCACTCAGCTGGGAGTGGGAATCCTTGGAAACTTCTCCCTTCTTTGTCTTTATAACTTCACTCTGCTCACTGGACACGAGGTGAGACCCACAGACGTGATTCTCAATCAACTGGTCTTAGCCAACTCCTTGGTGCTTTTCTCCAGAGGGATCCCTCATATAACAGCAGCTTTTGGAGCAACATATTTCCTGAATGAGGCTGGATGTAAGTTTTTCTTCTACTTCCACAGAGTAGCCAGGGGGGTCTGCCTCACTACCACCTCCCTCCTCAGTGTCTTCCAAGCCGTTAGGCTTCGCCTCAATGTCTCTAGTTCGATGGAGCTCAGAAGGAGATCCTCAAAGTGCATTTACTTGTGCTGTTGCCTTTGCTGGATCCTGCATCTCTTGGTAAGCATCTTTGTTCCTATTAAAATGGCTGGTCCAACGCACAGTAAAAACCTTAGTGTGAAGATAAATTATGGATACTGCTCCCCATTAAATCCGGACCGATTTTTAAAGTTTATAGTGACAGCCCTATTTTCTACAATTGACCTCGCATGTTTGGCCTTCATGGTCTGGGCTAGTGGCTCCATGGTTATTTTCCTACACAGGCACAGGCAACAGGTCCAATATATTCACAGCAACAGCCATTCTCCTAGACCTTCTCCCGAGGCCAGAGCTACGTGCACCATTTTGATCCTTGTGAGCTGCTTTCTCTCTTTTTACTCACTGTCTTCTCTTTTGTCTGTTTGGATGATTCTATTTGTTATTCCAGGACAGTGGCTGGTGGATGCCTCTATATTTTTGTCTTTATGTTTCTCAACATTCAGTCCCTTTGTGCTCATTTTCAGTGATACTCGTGTCACTGGTAAACTGCAAAACCGGTTTTGTTTTATTGGCTAGGCGAGGTAAACAGCTTTTGCTAATTTGGCTGAGACCATAAGACTCTGTTCTCTACGGGAAATTCAATCATTCTTTCCATCATCTGCTAATACTTAGGGATCAATAATTTTCATATTTTTGATAAGAAAGTATTATGCTGTGTAGACTGAAACAATTAGGTCCTAGAACTCATGAACCCTATAATAGGAGCACGTGAATATTATGTAAGTTGTTTACACAAACATTACTCAAATTGTTTTAGCTTCATCCATAGAAAAATCCATGAAATTTTGAAATAGTAGAACAGAGGAAAAATTGTGAGTTTGGGGATTTAGACAAAATCTCTCACTTTGCAGGTGTTTTGGTGTATATATAGCAGTAAATTATATGTAATATAAAGTTTTCCATTTTAATTATTTTCAAGTATACAATTCAGTGGCATTAAGTAAATCTGCAGTGTTCTGTGTCTACTACCATTACCACTATCTGTTTCTAGTTCACATATATGTGTCAAAATACAATTTATATACGAAAATAATACAACATATAAAGTTGTGTTAATTTCAAGTACACAACATAGTGATTTGACAACTCTATACATTACACAACGCTCACCGTAAGTGCAGCCACCATCTATCACCATGCAGGGTTATTACAATATTATCGACTCTGTTCCCTATGCTGTATCTTTGTCCCTGTGGCTTATTTATTTTATAGCTGGACACGTGAAACTTAACAAAAAATCAAACCAAACAGAAAATATGTACCCACTGACCAATAATTTCCTATTTCCCTCTCTACCTAGGCCCTGCTAACCTCTAACCTATGTTCAGTCTCTATGAGCTTGACTATTCTGGGTATTTCCTATGAATGGAATCATAATATTTATCTTTTTGGGTCTGGCTTTAATCACTTAGCATAATGTTTTCAAGTTTCACCCATCTTGTTGTATGTATCAGAACTTCATTCCTTTTTGTGGCTGAATAATATTCCATTGTATAAAATACCACATTTTATTTTTTTTTTAATTTTTTTTTCAACGTTTATTCATTTTTTGGGGGACAGAGAGAGACAGAGCATGAACAGGGGAGGGGCAGAGAGAGAGGGAGACACAGAATCGGAAACAGGCTCCAGGCTCTGAGCCATCAGCACAGAGCCCGACGCGGGGCCCGAACCCACGGACCGCGAGATCGTGACCTGGCCGAAGTCGGACGCCCAACCAACTGCGCCACCCAGGCGCCCCTAAAATACCACATTTTAAAAATCCTTTCCTGTGTTAACAGATACTTGGATTGTTTCCACCTTTTGGATATCGTGAAGAGTGCTGCTATGACCATTGGTGTACAAGTGTTTGTTTGAGTCCTGCTTTCCATTCTTTGGGTTGGATACCAGGAGTGTTAAATGCTAGGCCCAATGGTATTTCCACATTCAAGTTTTTGAGGAGCAGCTAAACTGGTTTTCACATTGTTCTATCTCACACTGCACTATTTTACATTCCCATCAGCAACAGATGAGGGCTCCAATTTCTCCAATTTTTCTAAGGCTTTGTCAATACCATTTCTGCCCCACGGCCATCCTGGTAGATGTGGAGTGATACCTCATCACGGTTTTGGATAAAATTTCCCTAATGAACCATTCTGTTAACATTTTAAGTAATTCACACCTGCTGTTTTCCATGATCCCTTTCCTCACCTATTTTCCCTTATCTACTGACCTTCCATCAGTATATAAATAGGGACTAACACCTAGAAGGAAAACGTCCTCGCTTCTATCACCTCCTTAATGCTCTATTTCATTTCTGATGACCCAGAATCATCTTCCCCACTGCCCATCCCAATCAACCTTGCAGCCCACACATTAAATTCCCTCCTCCACTCTCTTTTCCATTCCCCAATGAAGCCAAGGAAACCCATCTTTCTTCCAGTGTGAGTAAACTACACATAGCAAAATATATATCCAACAGGAAACAGACACATCCTGTTAGAAATAAAGGTAATATATGGCTTGAGCCGGTTACTTTGGGATTTTCTTCCTCCTTTATTCAACTCAAAAGATAACCTTCCTAACTCAAGTAAGACTTCTAGAAGCGGCTCCTACTTCAAGTAAGATTTCTTCCAGCCCTTAAATAGGTTAGAAGTTTCATGCTGTACTCTGTGGATTTCCATGTACTCAGAGCTCAGGGTGAGGAGGAGTCTGGAATCCCTACGTAAGCCCAACAGAGAACGGGGTATGGGCACTGAAGAAACCTCAGTAACCTGCGTGGGGTCGCCAAGGTGTCTGGAAGAAAAAAAAAACAAAAAAACAAACTAACCTGTGCAGGTGCTGGATGAGACTTCACAAGGCTGGGCAAAGAACTACTACTGCTGGGGCTGGGAACCGCTGCAGATGGCACAGGCCACACAGTGAGGGTGCTATTAGAACCCTGCAGGGAACAAAGGCAACAATGACCCCCCTGCTGTTTACACTCAGGTTGCCACCCCATTCTACTACCCCACAAGCGGTTCTCACCCTTTGACTTATCAAGTATTTTTCAAGTTTCTGTTTTAAAAGCATTCACCATTGCTTTGGGTTGCTTTCCAGACACCCCTGCGGGAAGCCGCACGGGGGGCGGGGACTTGTCCCGGGTGGGGCCTTGCTTGCATGGACTTAGGCTCAGGGGCAGGTGGGTCTTGGAGGCAGCAGGAGCCCACGCTGAGGGTAGGTTCCGCTTGGGGGCTCTCAGTGCACCTGTTTCCCTGAGGGAACCTGGTTAATTCTTTCCCTCCGCAGACAGACATGCTCATCAGGTCAGCGGGCCAGGTGTGATCTGAGGTCGCATCTGACCGGGGACAGCGTGGGCTGGGCACAGCGGAGATGGAACTTCAGACCCCAAGGTGCCGGTGGGCCCCATGGAAGCTCGGGTGGAGGGCCGAGCAGCGCGGGGGTCCGGGGACACACCTAGAGGGCGTGGGCACCTCCTCAGAGGCCCCCGAGTCTGAGTTCCCCCTTTCCACCCAAGGGGCTTCCAGGGGGCGCCCGCCCGGGTCCCGGGAGCGGTGAGGGCCGCGAGCTGCCGCCGAGGGCCCCCCAAAGGACAGCGGGAAGTTGCGGGCGCGCGCTGACGTTCCTGGGTATCGGGCTCCTCCCGACAGGGCTCCCCCGGGGCCCTCAGGCTCCAGGCGCCGGATTTCCGCCGCGGATCCCGGGGGCAAAACGCCCCCGCCTCGGGCCGCAGACCTGAGCCGCCAGCGACGCGTCCGCGCGGCTCCGGGGGGAAGAGTGCGCACCTGTGCCCGCCGAGGCCAAATCCCGGCCTTTGTGGGCGACCCGCGGGAAGCGCACACAGTGCCGCCGGGCCTGATCCGGGTCTTTAACTCGTTCTGAGACGCGGGGCCGGGGCGCGTGGGGAGCGGCTCCGGGACTGGGGAGGGGGTAGGCACGTCCAGCACTGGGCGCTTCCTCGGGGGAGACCTCCCACGTCGCCCACTACCACCCCGCTCAGCCGAGGGGCGCCCGGGTGCGGGTCGAGCTTCCGCGAGGGGACCGTCCCGGGGCCTCGCCTCACACCTTCCTAGACGGTGTCTGTACTCCGCGAGCAAACGTGGCCTCGGGGCTCCGCGAACCTCGTGCCGAGCGCCACCGTGGGGACTACATTACCCATAATTACCAGTGCCGCGTGCCCAGAGCGTGCAGCCAATGAACGCGCAGAAATAGGGGAGTTTCCGCGTGTGGACCAGAGCTTCGGGGCGGGACTTCCGGCACCCCTGAGGCTGCAGTCGCTTTGCTTTCGCGCGCAGGCTGGATCTGGGACCTTTAGGAGCGTGCAGTCGGGTCCGCGGTGGTCAGAGCCAGAAGGCGGTAGGGGTGGGGTTGTCCCCACTGCACAGCAGCTGGTCTGAGGGACGGATGCGGTGGTTGACAACTGTGCACGAGTCCCGTCTCTGTCGCCGACCTCTTAGGACCCCTCTTGTACCTACAGAGTCGGATGGCGGCGGCCGCGCCCCGGGACCCGACTCAGGTAAACTTGCGGCCTTCAGATCCTCCCCGCCCTTCCTCCACCCAGGCCCTAAAGGCCCGAACACGAGGTGCCTGCTCGCGTCCCTACGGCCCAGGCCCAGGGGTCCGGGTCAGTGGGGAGATAATATGTGATGTCCCCATTTCTTTCTCTTTTCTCTCTTCTCTTCTCGTCTCTCCTCTTCGTCCCCGTTTCTGAAAGCCACCGTTGATGAGATGTGAGAGTGTTACAGGCAGAGAGACTGGTTTGCAGGGGCAATTGATCCAGGAGCAAATGCTCCTGTAGTGCCTAGATGAAGAGTTTCAACTTAATTCTCAGGATGCCGGGAGCCATGGAGGGTTGTGAATAGAAGAGGCACAAGATCTGATTAGGCTTCTCAAAGTTTTCAAAGTTATTCAGAGTTAGAACAGACCGGAAAGAAGATGATAATTCCGAGGCACAGGGAGTTTGAGTCCTTGGCCAAGGTCACGCAGTTGTAAGAGTCAGCACTGGGGACTGAGGCTGAGAGAGAATGCAGTCATCCCAGGTCACCTGGCTCCAGGGCCGGGCAGGGGTGCAGGGGAGCCCATGGAGCCCTGCCATGGTTACATCCCTCTGGTGACCCTCCTCCTTGCACAGATTACCAAGACCAGAGAAGCACTTACGGACTGTATGAAGGTGAGTGAAGGATATCCCAGGCCCTCAATGGTCCTGAGCCCCCATCTTGGTCTCTGGAATTGTGTCCTGAGTCTCTTTGCCTGCCACTCTTCCACTCTTCTTGGGCCTGGAGACCCAGGGTCATGCATCCAGGCTGGAAGTTATATGGAGAGGTCCCTATTGCTGGCAACCAATACAGTGAGGTAAAAGATTGTTCCAGACAGAGGTATTGGAATATGTTCATGCTAGGAGGTGAAGGTGTGTTTGTTCAAGGAACTGCAGTTCCTCTTCTTCTCACGAGAGAGAAGAGAGAACAGAGCAGATGGGAAGGGGTCGGGCCTGGAATGGCTCCATGAAAAGTTGGGTGTCTCTTCTGGAGGTGATGGGGAAAATAGGAGGTTTGGAGCAGAGGGAGGTGATGTGACCTCGGTCTCATCAGGACCCCTGAGGCTGCAGCCTGGAAGAGCGAGAGCAGATACTCTTGGGGGGCCAGGGATGATGGGAAAAACAGGCAACTTGCAGTCCTTGAGGTGAGTGCTGGTGGTTGTACCAGGGTGCTGGCTGTTGAAGTGGGAGAGCTGGTTGGATTCTGGATCAGTTTTTAAATTAGGCCTGGCCAGAATTTCAGATTTTGAGAAAGAGAGAGAAAAAGGTAAAAAGAGTTGTAGGGCTCAGCAGCTGGAAGGGTGGAAACTCCCTTAACCAAGATATTAAAGTTGGTAGAAAGATTAATTCTCACTGGGGAGATGAGTTTTGTTTTTGGCTATCTTAAGACTCGGAGATGTTTCAGAGAAACACGTGTGGAGAACAATTAGTAGATGGCCACAAAGGTCTGGAACTCTGAGAAGGGGTTCAATAGGGAGACATCCAGAAGGTGGTGGTGTCTGCACCGGGGGGTAGCTTGGGTCCCAATTAGGAGGGGGATCCTTGTCATCATGATAAAGGTATTGGCTGCCCAGCAAGGGGAGCTGTGACTGAGTGTCATGCCTGGGCATCTGGGTGGGGTGCTGGGCCTCATAAACACAGCTGAGAGGGAGAAATGGCTGTGGGAAGGTTGTGGGAGAGGACAACCTGTCAGGTGGCCAGGGCTTCCACAGGAAGCGTGGACATAAGGGGAATGCGGGCGCACAAGAGTAACTGAGGCAAGATGACACTGAGGCCCACACTAGTGTTTATTCGTACTGCGGACTTACCAGGAATTTATTGTGTCTCTTGGTGTATCCTAGCTGTTTCAGTCAGGCTGGCAAATTAGCACCGGGGCAGAAGTATCATCTAGGAGCATCGCTGGGGCTGGGGTAAGAGACCTCCAGGGCTGGGCTTTGACTGCTGGTTTGATGGATAGGAAGGCAGTGACTGATGAGGGGACATCACATGCACCACGAGTGGAAGGGAGCCCTGGGGTCCTGAGGTCTGCAGGTGGTTCTTGGTGGCTGGGGTTGAAGCAAGGAGCAGAACCGGGTGGAGAGGCCTGCAAGTGGGTTTTGTCCCCTCCGGTAGCAGGGATCAGTGGAAGTCTGGGGTAGCGCTGGGTCCTTTTGGAATTTGCCAAACACCACCTGGATGTCATAAGCAGGTAATGCTTGCCATTACCAGGGTGATGCTTCTGGGTAGGAGGGGAGAAGTGGTTTCCAGAGCAAGACTATGAGAGAGGTGTGGCGGAAGTAGTTTCATGGAGAGAGAGCATGAACTGAAGGACCTAGGGCTGTGACTTTGAGGACGTAAGGGTGGAGAGTGAGCCCGTGTTTGGTTGTGTCTCGGAGGCACAATCTGGGAGACCCCAGACAAGAGGACGTATGTCCTCATGCCAGGCTCAGTATTTAGATGGCACCTCCCTGCCCACATGCCAGTTGTTGCTGTGGGCAGTGACAATGATCATGATACTGTGAGAAAAGAGCAGGTCTCTCTGGCTCCAGGACCTGATATGTCTTCCATAGTGGGGACCGCTGGAAGGAGAGGGAGCATGGAATGAATGTCGGGGTGAAGAAACTCAGAGTCGTAAAAAAGCTGATGAAGGAATGATCTGTCCCCATCACGGCAGGGCTGTGTGACTTTTGAGGACGTGGCCATTGACTTCTCCCAGGAGGAGTGGGGGCTCCTTGATGAGGCTCAGAGACGCCTGTACCACGATGCGATGCTGGAGAACTTGGCACTTACAGCTTCGCTGGGTAAGGCCTTCACACGCACCCCAGTATCCTGGTTTTTGTTCATTGTCTTTTACCTCCCGGGCAGCTCTGCCCTTTCTGCAGCCAAACCATGGGTCCTGCTCGCTTCGCCATTTTCTTGGCACACGTGTCACGTGGCGGACCATAGTTGTGTGCACTGCCCTGAGAAGACCTAAGTCCCATTGCTCCAGGCATTCAGGGAAGGGTCTGGGATTCAGGAGTCTTGCTGTCAGCCTAATGCACCGTAACCTTGTTTGCTCTCTCCCTGGCAAGATGACTGTGTCCATGGCACCTTGTGTTCCAAGTGCTTAATTACGGATAGAGTCAGTGGTTTTAATAATACTGATGTTGGTAAAATGTAAAACACAAAGGATAACCCCTAATGTAAACTGTGGACTTTAGTTAGTAATCATTCCTTTGTCAATGCCTATAAAATGTGAAACACAAAGGGCAAATGATATTGATGTTGGATATGGGGTCCTGGTGGATAGAACAACATTTAGGTTACAGTAGCTCACCATGAGGTACCCTTTAATTTTTCTAGATTTAAGAACAGGTACAATCGAGTTGTAGGACAGAGGAGTAGTGAGGATACTCTCTTTTATTTATTAGATTTTATATAACAAGTTTTAATCCCTGGAGGCCCTGTTTTAACTTACATTGGGCCATATTAACATTTTACCTGGGTTGGAGGTGGGGGGCTATGGGATCTCATTTTATTGAGCCCATCTCTGTCAGAGACTTACATTAATTTAAGTGTATTCATCATGTTAGAGCATCTGTGCCCAATATGGGATATTTCTGGGTCTTAAGACACTGGGAAATTTAGGAAAGGCTAGTGTTCAAATGAGGCATATCTGTTTCTGTTTTATATCTGGTTACTTTCCTGAGTATAGGAGTACAGTGTGTAAAAGTAGTGGGATTCCCCAGATAACAATTTGAGCCCCAGTAATGATTAGGTTGATGAGGTTTTGGCTTTGGTGCCTTTTAGTAAATGATGTTTAAACCACTTTACTGAGGAATTATTGACATGTCTAAAAACTGTATATATTTTATGGATACAATTTGATGGGTTTGGGGATAAGTATATACCTGTAAATACGTTACCATCAGCAAAGCCATAAACATATCCATCCCTCCCTAAATTTCCTCCCAACCCTTTATTATTATCTTGATCATTTGTGTGTGAATGTGTGTGTGAGTGTGTTAGCAAATTTTAAATATACAGTAGTCCCCCCTTACCCATGGTTTCTCTTTCCATGGTTTTAGTTACCCACAGTCCACTGCAGTCTGGAAGTAGATGATCCTCCTTCTGATGTATCTTCAGGTCAGTAGTAGCTTCACGCTAAGTCACAGTGCTTGTGTCATTCATCTATCCTATCACATAGGCATTTTATCATCTCACATCTTTACAACAAGAAGGTATGGTAGAGTAAGAAATTTTGAGAGAGACCACATTAACATAACTTTTATTATAGTATATTATTATAGTTGTTCTACTTTCTTATTATTATAGTATATTATTGTAATTGTTCTACTTTCTTATTAGCTATTGTTAATTTCTTACTCGGCCTAACTTATACATTAAACTTTATCATAGGTGTGCATGTATACGAAAAAGTGTAATGTAGACAGAGTTCAGTACTATCCGCAGCTTCACGTCTCAACTAGGGATCTTGGAATGTGTATCCCTCAAAGAAAAGGGAGAACTATTGCACATTACAGTACTGTTAGCTATAAACTGCTGTATAGTAGGTCTCCAGAACTTACTCATGTTAATAATTGAAATTTTGTACCATCACTCCTCCATTTCCTCTTTCCCCAAGGCCCCCTTGTCAAGATTAGTTGGTCATATATTTAGGGGTTTATTTCTGTGCTCTCTATTCTGTTCTGTTGGCTTATGTGTCTGTTTTTATGCCAGTACCATACTGTTTTGATTACTATAGCTTTGTAATATAATTTGAAATCAGGAAGTGTGATGCTTTCAGCTTTGTTCTTCATGCTCAGGAGTGCCTTGGCTATTCAGGGTCTTTTGTGGTTCCACCCTAATTTTGCTTGTTTTTCTACTTCTGTGAAAAATGCCCTTGGTATTTTGAAAAGGATTGCATTGAATCTGTAGATTGCCTTGGGTTGCATGGACATTTTGAGAATGTGAATTCTTTCAATTTATGAACAAGGGATATTTTTCCATTTATTTGTATCTTTAATTTCTTTCATTAGTGTTTTATAGTTCTCAGCGTATAGATCTTTCACCTCCTTGATTAAATCTCTTCCTAAGTATTTTATTATTTTTGAGGCTCTTGTAAAAGGGATTGTTTAATTTCTTTTTTGCACAGTTCCTTGTTAGCGTATAAAATGCAAGTGATTTTTGTGTGTTGATTTTGTATCCTGCAACGTAATTTACTGAATTAATTTATTTTAACAAGTTTTTATTTTTCTTGCCCAATCACTCTGGCTAGTAGCATTTGATTGGCTAGTAGCATACTGTTGAATGCTAGTAGCATTCAACAGTAGCATGTTGAATAGAAGTGGTGAGAGTGGTCATCCTTGTCTTGTTCCCGATCTTCACCAAAAGTCTTTCAGCTTTTCACCATTGAGTATGATGTTGGCTGTGGGCCTGTCATATGTGATCTTTATCATGTTGAGGTACATTCATTCCTTCCATACCTGATTTGTTGAGAGTTTTTTGTTTATGAAAGGATGCTGAATTTTGTTACATGCTTTTCTATCTTTTGAGATGATGATATGATCTTTATCCTTTATTTTGTTAATGTAGTATATCACATTTATGGATTTGTGTTTGTTGAACCATCTTTGCACCCCAGAGGTAAATCTCACTTGGATGTGGCGTATGATCCTTTTAATGTGCTGTTGAATTTGGTTTATTAATGTTTTGTTGAGGATTTTTGCATCTAGGTACATCAGGGTTGTTGGTCTGTAATTTTCTTGTGTTGTAGTATCCTTATCTGGCTTTGGTCTGAGGGTAATGCTGGCCTTGTAAAATGAATTTGGTTGTATTCCCTCCCTTCAGTTTTTTGGAAGAGTTTGATGAGGAATGACATTAAATGTTTCATAGAATTCATCAGTGAACCCATCAAATCCTGCACTTCTCTTTTGGGTGAAGGTTTTGGTTTTGATTTGTTTTGTTTTTTAAAGGGGAAGTTTTTGATTACGGACTCAATGTCTTTATTCATTATCGGTCTGTCTAGATTTCCTATTTCTTCATGATTAAGTCTTAGTAGTTGTATGTTTCTAGGAATTATCCATTTCTTCTAGGTTATCCAGTTTGTTGATGTATAGTGGTTAATAGTCATCTCTTATGATCCTTGTATTTCTGTGGTATCAATTGTAATGTCCTCTCTTTCATTTCTAGTTTTGTTTGAGTCTTCTCTTTTTTTTCCTTAGTCTAACTAAAAGTTTGTCAATTTTATCTCTTGGAAAAAAAATTCTTAGCTTTGATCTTTCCTATTGTCCTTCTAGTCTCTATTTTATTTATTTCCACTTTGACCTTTTTAATTTCCATCCTTCTGCTAACATCAGGCTTAGTTCTTTTCTAGTTCTTTGAGATGCAAAGGTAGAATGTTTACTTAAGATCTTTCATTTTTTTCTTAATATAGATATGTATCTGCTATAGCCTTCCCTCTGGAACTTTTTTCACTGGATCCCATAAATTTTGGTATATTGTTTGTATTTTCATTTGTCTCAAGATATTTTTTTTTTATTAAAAAAAAATGTTTAATGTTTATTTCTGAGAGAGAGAAAGAGAGCACAAGCAGGGGAGGGGCAGAGAGAGAGGGAGACACAGAATCCAAAGCAGGCCCCAGGTTCTGAGCTGTTAGCACAGAGCCTGACACAGGGCTCGAACTCACAAACTGCGAGATCATGACCTGAGCCAAAGCCGAATGCCCAACCGACAGAGCCACCCAGGAGCCCAAAGATATTTTTTGATTTCCCTTTTGATTTAATCTTTGAATCACTGGTTGTGCAAGAGTATGTTCTTTAATTTCCACATATTTGTGAATTTCCCAGTTATCCTCCTGTTACTAATTTCTACCAGGAAAGATACTTGATATGATTTCAGTTTTCTTAGATTTGTTAAGACTTTTTTTTAACCTATCATATAATCTATCCTAGAGAATGTTCCCTGCACTCTTGAGTAGAATGTGTATTCTGCCGTTCATTGGAATGTTCTGCATATGTCTGTTAGCTCCATTTGGTCTGTAGTGTTGTTCAGGTCCACTACCTTTTCTACCATCAATGTTTTGTAAAATGAGAAAACGTCATGTTATACATAAAGTTTAAAAAAATAGGGGCGCCTGGGTGGCGCAGTCGGTTAAGCGTCCGACTTCAGCCAGGTCACGATTTCGCGGTCCGTGAGTTCGAGCCCCGCCATCGGGCTCTGGGCTGATGGCTCAGAGCCTGGAGCCTGTTTCCGATTCTGTGTCTCCCTCTCTCTCTGCCCCTCCCCCGTTCATGCTCTGTCTCTCTCTGTCCCCAAAATAAATAAACGTTGAAAAAAAAAATTTTTTTTTAATAAATAAAAAAAACAAACATGATTAATACTTTCCCACCATCGGCAGCATGACTCATCAGTATTTCTCCTTTTTCAGTTTGTTGGCATGGAATGGAGGATGAAGGGACACCTTTTGAACAGAGTGTTTCCATAGAAGTTTTGTCACAGGTCAGGATTCCAAAGGCAGGTGCCTCCATCCAGAAGACTCACCCCTGTGAGAAATGTGTCCCAATCCTGAAAGACATTTTGCACTTGGCCCATCTACCTGGGCAGAAAGTGTATGTAGATGGAGCATGTGCAGACCTATACCAGCCTCAAGAGCATCACAGTGCAGAGAAGAGGGATGTGGGCAGGGCTTCATTTATAAAGAGCTGCATATTCCATGTGTCAGGGAATCCCTTCACCTGGAGGAAAGTTGGAAAGGAGTTCCCGGACACATTGGGCTTTCTCCAGCACCAGGTCATTCTCAACAGTAAGAAGCCAAACAAAATCACCAAGTGTGGGGAGGCCTTTCCTTGTGGAGAAAGTCATTACAAATCATGTGAATGTGGGAAAGCCTCCAGCCACAAACACAGCCTTGTTCACCACCCAAGAGTCTCTACTAGAAAAAGGGTTTACGAGTCTAGCAAATATGGGAAGGCTTTTCACTGCAAGTACTCACTTGTTCAGCTCCAGAGATCCCGCACTGGAGAAAGGCCTTACGAGTGCAGCGAATGTGGAAAATCTTTTAGGCTAAGGGCCACCCTCATTATACACCAGAGAGTTCACACTGGAGAAAAGCCGTGTAAGTGTGGTGAATGTGGGAAATCCTTTAGTCAGTGTTCCAACCTTATTGAACACTGCAGAATCCACAGTGGAGAAAGGCCTTTTGAGTGTGAGGAATGCAGGAAAGCCTTCGCGTGCAAATCCAATCTTGTGAGGCACCAGAGAACACACACTGGAGAAAAGCCTTATGAGTGCAGTGAATGTGGGAAATCCTTCAGACAAAGCTTCACCCTTGTTCGACACCAGAGAATTCACACCACAGCAAGCCCTTATGTGTGTGACCAGTGTGGGAAATCCTTTAGCCAAAGAGCTGCTCTCATTAGACACCAGAGAATTCACACCAGTAAAAGGCTTTACGAGTGTGGAGAATGTGGGAAAGCCTTTGGATCCAAATCCAAACTTTATCGGCACAACCGAAGTCACACTGGCGAAAGGCCTTATGAATGTGCTGAATGTGGGAAATCTTTTACACAAAGCTACAGCCTTGTTGAACACCAGCGAATTCATAGCAGAGCAAGGCCTTTTGAGTGTGGCCAGTGTGGGAAACGCTTTAGCAGAAGAGCTATTTTCACTAAACACCAAAGAATTCACACTGGAGAAAGGCCTTATATGTGTCATGAATGTGGGAAATCCTTTAGTCGAAGCACCAGCCTTACTCAACACTGCAACATTCACACAGGAGCAAGGCCTTATGAGTGTGGCCGATGTGGAAAATCCTTCAGGCAAAAGTCTGTTCTCATTCAACACCAGATAGTTCACACTAGAGAAAGGCCTTACGAATGCAGCAAGTGTGGCAAATCCTTTAGCCAACGCTCTAGCCTCAGTCTCCACCAGAAATTTCACAGCATGGAGAGGGCCCGTGAATGTAGGAAATACGGGAAATCCTTCATTCCAACCTCCAATGTTGTTTAACACCAGAAAGTCCACATTTGAAAATGGGCTTAGATTTGAAGGAAACATGCCGTCTCCCTGTTCACTCTAATGGCCCTAAATAGTTGTGTGAGAGAGCCACATGCCTGAAGTTGAACCTCATACCGCCAAGCATCCAGGGGGGCGAAATATCCCCTCAGTTTATAGGCATGTGTGAGGCTTACAGGGGCTGCACTGCCCGGTCCAGACTACCCAGGGCCCTTACCCGAATGCCACCACTGCCAGTTTT